AATCTACCAACTAAGATCTACATTGCTTTAATCTAGTTCTAAGAGTATAAGTTCATGAATTAGAATATATTAGATCTAGATTCTAGATCTAGTATTTTAGTGATCTAGATAAAATATTAAAAATATGAAGAAAAGGATGACGGTAAACAGGATGACTTTCACTTTCAGTCTCACTCAGCCTACAACTAATCTAAACTTAATCGAATCTAGACTAGATCTAGATACTAGATCTAGATATCTAGAACTTTGACAACAATGTTAATGTTAATAGACCTAGATCTAGATCTAGATCTAACTAGATTACTGAACTAGACTCTAGACTAGTGCTGATTGATTATTCAGTGATTACTGTTTAATATTTTAGAAGTAGGCCTATAGAAGTAGCTTTGACTTGTAGATAGATGGCTAGATAGAGATAGTAGATCTAGATGCAGATGGTAGTCCCTAGATCTAAAAATCTAGATCTAGAGAATCTAGTAGATCTAGATAGATTCTAGACTAGACTAGTTTAGGTAAAACCTACCCTAGTTAAGTTTAGTAAGAGCTAGCTCTAGATCTAGGTAAGGCTAACGCTGTTTTTAATTTTAAATCGATTTTTTTTAGATCTAGAATCTAGATTTCTAGACTAGATCTACTCTAGCTATTTTACTATTTACTAGATCAGTAGCCAGTAGAGTGAGTAGAGTAGTAGTAGAGTGTAGTGTAGAGTACTGTAAACTATTGTAGAGGGTAGGTACTAATAACTAGACTTAAACTAAATTAGACTAGAATCTAGATACATTTAGGGCTTACAGACTTATCAGTCAGACTACAGAGTTGCAATTAGTAGATCTAGTAATATATAGATTAAATTTAGTTTGAAATTGTTACAGTAGTGTAGACTACTAGAAGAGCAAGATGATAGATCTCCATCAAGCTACAATAGAGTTTAGTTAGTAGTTAGTTAGCCGTAGTAATAGTACCAAAAGCAGTGTAAGTAGCACAGTAAAGAAAGTATTACTAGGCCATCTACTATTGTATTAGGCCCTTTTATTTTTAGCAAGTTAAAGTTTGGTTAAGTACTAGTCTTCTAGCAAGTTGCCTAGTAGTAAACTTAGAAACTAGATCATGTGTATTAGTACTATTAGACTTGTAGGCTAGTCTTGTTAGTCTAGACCAGGGACTATAAAATCTACAATTGATAACTTTTGGCCTTTTAGTATAAGCCTAATTATTAATGAATTACATGGTATAAAAATTAATAAATTGGTCAGAGTCAGTACGGTTACAGTTAGCTGTTAATAGAATTAAGTTTTAGATCTATTGACACCAATTTTTAGTTACAAGTAATGAAAATGAAACTAATAGTTTTGTAATAGTTAAGATATGGTTAACTGTAAACCAGATATTTTAGTTTTTAAGACAAGCTAAGTAGATAGAAAACCGAACCTTTACAATAAATTACACCTTATATATATATATATATATATATATATATATATATATATATATATATATATATATATATATATATATATATATATTAATATCACATATTAGTTAAATAATTATTTTAATATAATATATGGATAAACTTAATACTTTATTATATTTAAATTCTCTAGGTACTTGGCAAGCAATTTTCTCACACTTTACTGTGGCTATTGGTGCTGATCTTGAACTAAAGGTGAGCTGAATTTTTTTTTATAATAAGCCATTTTTCAGCTTAAGCCCAATTCAGTTTTCTAATTCTTAAAGAATATGTTGCTACTAAGATTATTTACTGTAAGTATTAATATGTATGGCTTGATAGTGGCACTGTCAGACAGTAGCTTTCACATTTCTATCCTAAAAGATAAGAGTTCAGATCCCTGGTTTTAGTCCTGGTATGATGTCCTAAGTCTCATGAGTACCAGCTCTCATGAGTACCTGGCTCAAGATAGGGAAATTAAAGGTGGCTGGGTATATACCTCTGAACACTCTAATTTTACATGCAAATGTCACAGAAACAGGTGAATTTTAATTCAACTGCTATATTGGCTGTCTGTTTTAATCAATGATTAATTTTTTCATATTACAGAAAGTTGTTAAAAATATTATTTATTTAATTTCTAGGTAAATGGAACAGCATAGATGTGGATTTTTAGACACAAGGAAGCTGAATTTAACTTTTAATGAAGAATTTAAATGATGATTGTCCATGAAAAGAAATATTAATCATATACATTGTAATGCTGTATTGATGCATCTTCTGTTTTAAGTAATTAAAAAAACATCCATTTATGAAATTCTTTTCATTTTTTTTTTTCAATTTTAAAACTGTAGTACTATTTTGTTATTTGAAAACAATGATGAAAGTATACTGAACTGCCATTGAGATATTAATATAAATGCTATTGTTTATAGTTTAATTCTTTCAGAAGCAACTATATTGACATCAAAACTGAATCTTTATTGTACACTAAGTATAAAAGCTTACCCGCAAACCAGTCCATGTCAACAATTTATTGACATCCAAACATTAAATTTTTTTAAAGGTGATTTTTCTTAAATAAAACAGACTACTTTCATATGGGATAAGAAACATTTAATTTTGAAATTGATTGGTTTATTAAATTTTAATGTAGCTGAAACTAAAACACTGGGTACAAATTTATTATTACTTTGTTTCTCAGAAAATTGCTAATTTTGAACATAAGAACTGTGGGAAGTAGGCAATGATGTTAAAATATCTCTTGAAACTTGAAGAAATTGTGGAAGGTTTAGAGATAGAAAACAACATTTCAGAAGATGATGTTTGAAATAATGGTAAAATATCTTTAGCAATTGTCACTGAATAAATATTTTCATTAGACAAATCACATTTAGGTATAGAAGAATAAGGTACGTCTTCAGATTTTCTTATCAGCGAAGATCCTGGGTGATTCTCTTTGTTACCATCGGTCAAATGACAAGCCAATTCTGGAAAATTCATTGGGTTCTTTGCCTAGGCAGCTAAATATATTTAAATTAAGTTCATGCAAGGCTTTAGAAACATCAATTTAATAAAACTATAATTTGATTAACTTTTTATTAATATCAGCTCCAAAGGAATAATATAAACAAGTTACACATCATCAATAAATCAAATGTGCAGATATTTCCATTTCACCAAACTTTCTCTAAGTCATAATATATATTTTAAATTCATGGAATTTTGATAGGCTAGATATGTTGGCTTTTATTTACCACAATAATCTGATTATATAAATTAACAACATTACATTAGGATTACCCAGCTATCATGCATTCTTCTTTTTACTGCCCTCCTTTATGAGGGGGGGGGGGGGGTAAAAATCATCATAAAATGTGTGATGCAATTTACAGATGAACCCTCTCTCTCTCTACCCCTCCCCCTATATATATGTATATCTATATAATCTCTTAAATCATGTTGGTACCTCTACCTGTTTGAATGTTAGGCCCCTTTCCTTCAACTGTTTCTGTGTGGATCTTCTCCATGGGGGTCATCCATAAATGACGTCACGCATTTTTTTTGACGATTTTTACACCCTCCCTTCCCCCTACACATCGTCACAAAAAGCCAGACCTCCACCCCCTAAAATGACGTCACACAGTACTAGATTCTAGATCTAAATTACTACAGTTGCCTACATTCTAGATTTAGTTCTTAAGTTCTACAACAAGACTACACTAAACTTTACTAGATCTAGAATAATCTAGATTCTCTGTATAAATTGATATTGAACATATTCTAGTCTACCTGTCTTAAAGTAAATAGCCTATTTATTAGGCCTAATTTTAGTAATTTAGTAATTAATTCCACTCAACTACACTGGTGTAAAATAAAAGAAACTAGATCTAGAATCTAGATCTCTAGACTACTCTTGTGTCTATAAATTAAAAATAAATCCTGTATGTCGTATGTTACTGTCTAAGTCGGAATTTTCAAGAGGCCTTTTTTTTTAAAGTCATAGATCTAGATATAGAATTCTAGATCTAGAAATCTAGACTCTAGATCTAGGCTATATATATTTATTAATTAAATTAGGCTTGATTTCAGATTTACGATTGAAATCTTTTAGGCCTAAAAATATCATGTTTTATATAGATGTATTATTATTATACAGGTAGTATTCTAGATCTATCTAGCTCTATATAAAATATAATATATTTGTGTGTGTGTGTTATTTTAAACTTAATTTACTTAATTAAAACAACTTATTGTCGGAGTTTGTTTTTATTCCAAAAACGAAAGTAGATTTCATAACTTAAAAAAAAAAATTAATAAAAAATATTCACATTTGGTTTGAAAAAACAAAAAAACGCTAGCTGGCAACTACCGGAGCGAGAACTTGGTAAGCTACTTTAACAACTTACAAGCCCAATAGTTTAGTCATTTTTTAAAAAAAATTATAGCAAATGGGAATAGCACTACTTGATTTAGTAAATATAAATAGAAAATGATTCAGCATCTATAAATAGAACTAGATCTAGATCTAGAGGTCTAATCGTAACTTCTGTTTATATTATTACACTACGCGGCGACGACTAGATCTAGTCTAGATTCTAGATCTAAAAAATTAGATATATTTTTAGAATGATAGAATCTATATGTGTGCTTATTGCTGCTATATTATTATGTCTAGCCCATGCAATACATTGATACATTCTCATTGTCTCTATCAAATTTTAGCATACGTTTAAAATTAAATACTAAATATAGGCCTACATTGTAAAAATATCATAAGGCCGAAGTACACTAGTTAGTAGGCTATAGTCTGAATTCATACTCAGTAAAGTAAATATATATGTATGTAGAGTCTGTAGACCGACCCTATGCTATTATATAGATCTAGTCTATAATAGATCTGGAGACTATTATTAGGCAGACAGAACAACAAAAGGAATTATTTTTATAGACCTCACGTAATAATTATAAATTACTGAATATCATCGCGTCGCATTTCCTGGTAGATCTAGATCTAGATTCTATAGGCCCCTATGTATTTATCATGTAACCACTATTCTAGATGTAAGTTGATGTAAGATTTGAAACTTATGTTTTGTGGAATTATTTAATATAAATATAATTAGTTTAGCTAGATCTCGTTACTATTACTAAGTTACTAGATTCTAGATAATAATATATTGTATTATTTATTATTGTTAATAAGCCAAAAACTAAAGTGATAAGTAAAGTAGGTCAACTAAAGATATTAGATTATATTATTTAAAAATATTTATTGCAAACATAATAAACAATTAATTCAGTAATTATTAATTAGGCCTTCTAATTAAACATTTGTCAGCCAATTTATATAATTAAAAAAAAATACACTTTCTGGCAACTTTTACTTTAAAACTTAAGAAATGAAACCTAAAACAAAACTAAACTGTATTTAGTATTTTAGGATAAGCTTACATAATACATATTACTATAAGTTAAGTACTGTGACTGTGGTCTACTACTAACAGGTAAGGAATATCAGGCATACAGCAAGCTTAAACAATGGGACAAGTGAACAGAAATAAAAGCCAAAGGGATGCAAACTGAAATATAAAAAATATATAAAATATAAAAATAAACAATGAAAAAAATATGAAGATAAAGATGGTAAAAACAGTAGGCCTAATAGTAATATAATAATAAGTTTCTAAATGCTATGAACTATGAATGTTACATTCAATATAGTTAGTATAGGCTATATAATTAAATACTTAGTTCTATGTATAACACACATATGATATATATATATATATAAATATATATATATATATATATATATATATATATATATATATATATATATATATATATATATATATATATAGGCTTCATACATAAATCATATGAGCCCTATGCTATATAGGCCTATATAAGATTACTCATTATTATAAATTATATTTCTGTAGGTTTGTTTATACTCAAGAAAGCACACACACAAAATAATGGTCAAATCAACCCTTGCCTGTGGACTACAAGAATGTCTGAGTAAAGAATGGATGGGAGATAACTTCAGTGACTTTAGAGTTGTGGTTGATGGCTCAGAGTATTTCTGTCACAAATTTATTCTAAGTGCCTGCTCAACTTTCTTTAAGACTTTGTTGGGTTCGGATTTCAGAGAAAAGAAAGACGAATGTGTTGAGTTAAAGAACATGAGTAAAGAGACTTTTGATGTTATAATCAATGCAATTTACAAAGGTGTTGATGATCTGACAAAAGACAACATCATTAGTGTGTGGCAAGCTACTCATATGTTGCATATACCATTTCTTATAGAAGAGTGTGAAAGATTTGTTTTGGAAAATATGTCACAAGATAATTACACTACTTTTTACAAAACAGCAGTTCTTTTAAATTCAAAATGTGTGATTTCATTGGCAGTAGGGTTCATGAAAGAAAACTTTGAACAATTTTGTAAGACTGAGACCTTTCTAGAACTTTCATACCCTGTGCTTTACTCTTTGGTTGATGATGATACATTAAATGTAAATTCAGAAGATTTAGTCTTGGAATCAATAGTTAATTGGGTCTCCTACGTAAACATTAAACCTGGTAAAATTGACGCGATTGATTGTAAATCATGTGAAGCTGTGACTAGAAGTTTATCTAAGTCTAACTCTCCTAAAAACTGTTTACTTAAAGTTTTTCCAGAAACAAATACACAGGAAAACTATTTAGATAAACTAGTTGTTGAAAAATGTTTTGAAGATATTGAAGCTGAAATTAAAGCAGACAATAAATCTTTTCACATAAAGAAAGAATTAGCTGAACGGTTATCAAATAATAACTCACAAACAGATACAGAAACATCAAGTTCTAAAGTACATAGATACAGTAGTGTAGTGTATGATAGAAAGAAATATCTTGGAGACCTCTTGTCTACAGCCAGAATATTTTTAGCCAGTCGAAGTTATCTTGAGAAACTTCATAGCCATCAGTTGATACGTGATTGTGTAGAAGCATTAGAAATTGTACATGAAGCTTTGATGTACCACTGGAGATCTGTTTCCTTCCCCAGTAACTTTGTCATCCCTTATAGAAACTCTAGCGGCAAACGCAATGTCATGGCATTTGTTAAATATACAAAACTTCATCTTTTTGAACTAAATAGTGGAGCTACTTATGAAACTGACCTTCCTGGTACTTGTTTAAATACTGACCATTTCAACAACTTAGCATCGTATGGATCCTCTCTCTGTTTTATACATGGAGGGAAATATAACAGTAAATGTGAACATAAGCACAAGAAAGAAAAATTTTGTTCACGTCGATATGTTGTAACATGTGATGGCAATAAGGAAATATCTACTGTGTGTGAGGTCTGTCAGTATTGTAAACTGGAATTAGTTTCCCTGAATGGAGTTTTTGTTAGAATTATAAACTCAACGTGTACAAAACTCAACTCTGACCAAAATATTTTTGGTGGCTTTCAGTTCATGTACCGTTCCAGTTATGAATCTCTTTGTGCTTTTCAGGAAAATATTTTATTATTTTCCAAATGTAAGGTTAATTCTAAACCTAGTGTTAACGTACATTGTTACAACATTTACACCAAGTCAACTCAGGATATAAACTTTGAAGGCCCAGCTGATCACATTGTCAGCTTCTCAAGTGGAGCCAAAAAGACTTTTATTCTACAGAAAAATGGTGCTCTTAGGTCAGTAAACATTACATATGATTCAAAAATAGAATTTACATTTGTTACACAACTTTGGAACAGTTTTGATTTTGTATTAGATAGTGCTGTATATTTTAAAAATGAATTAATCTTGTTTTGTACAGAGAAGCCGGACAACATAGACACTTTTCTAGTGAAATTTGTGCCTGGTGTTTTTAAAATGATAAAAGTTGTTGAAGTTGATAGCGATTCCAACCTAGTTCCGTTAGTTGTGCCAGAAACTTGGCTTGTTGCAAAACAAAAAAAGTACTGATACATTATTGATTTATTAAATGTCAAATTTTTATTCAACTGTTAAACAAGAAAAATACTGATAAATTATTAATTTTTTGTGTCAATTATTTATTCAACAGTTAAGCAAAAATTCCAGACAATTTAGTGAATAACAACGCAACCCCCTCCTTCTGTTTTTTTTTTTGCATATTGTTAGTTTAAAAAAATGCTGTAGATAGCCATTTAAGTCTGAGAATTCGGTTAGCTTTTTAAAAATAAATTTGGCCATTTTTTAAAATTGTAAATAATAAAATATGTTACTGTAATTGTACATTTGAAGGTTGAAATAATCAAAATGTTAATACTAAATTTTATGCTTTAAAATTCTCTTATCAATTGTGTTTAATATGTATTTTTTAGCATTTATGTAAATCTATTTAAGCAGTTCATACACCAATAAATAAATACAAATGTGCATACATATTTAAACTGCTTTTAAGTAATTCTTAAGTAATTCTGTTGCCATTGTTCATTGCTATAATGACTTCAGCACTTCTTGCAGCTCTATAATAGTCTATATAAAATGGTAGCTGCAGTGGTTTGTAAATCATAAGTATAATAAACAGGCAGTGTTAGTAACTTCACAAACAGCAATTAATCTTAATTTGTGAGGCTACTCACATTAATTTGTTGTAGGCCTATGTGCTAAAGTTGTATATAGTCATTATAGTGCTCATTCACATCAGAGTAGAGTTATGATACTCCAGCCAGCCTAGTTCACATTCAGAATTTACTAATCAGTGTATTAAGATATTTAAATGAACACTACTACTGCTAAACATCAAGTATCAGGTTAATATTAGAAGTGTATAGTTTCCCTTTCAAATCTGACGGTTTATGGGGCAAGTGAAGTAGAGTTCACTTGTTTCTGTGACCTTGGCATATGAAGAGATAGTGTGGTCAACACTATGCCCAACCACCTTTACTCTCCCTAACGTGAGTTAGGTACCCATACGAGTTGGGTGGACTCAGGGACTGTCTACTGACTTGAACCCAGATTCGAACTCGAGATTTACTCGTTAGCAGTCCAGCTCTCTACCAGTAGACCACTCCGTCTCAGTGTATGAAGAGTACATTTTTGGCTAGTTTAGCTATTTAATACATCAGCTTATCCCTAATATTAATCAACCTTATTCTGAACCTTACTTTACTAATACAATATGGTAAGGTGTGGCCTAAGCAGTAGAGCTAGGCTGCTAACCTCAAAGTCTTGAGTTTGAACCCGGGTCCTAGTCAGTAGAGCATACATGAGTCCACCCAGGTCTGATGAGTACCTAACTCATGTTAGGAAAAGTGAAAGTGGCTGGTCAAAGTGCTGACTGCACCTTCCCTTAAATGCCAAGGTCAAGAAACATATTAACTCTACTTCATCTTCTGCCCAATTGATGGCTAGGTCTAAAAAGGATTCTTTACTTTTTACTATTACAATTATTTCCAGATATAGCGGTAACCCTTAGTCTAAAGGAACATTATTTCAACATAATAATACATACTAACAATTATTATAAAAAACAAATAGAATGCTGGTTACTTAAGGGTTAAGTAATGTTTATTTCATTGAACAACATAGACTTGACAAACACATGATCAACAGATATTTGTCATAATTATCACAAAATATATTTAAGACTAGTTAATTCAATCCTCAAAATTTTGTACAGCAACAATCCAACCTACAGATTAAAACTTTTATTCAGTAAGAAAAAAAAGTCTTATTTTTACAATTTTTGTGCCAACTTGGTCATGTGGTATGATCCAAATATACTTGATGATTTGGTAATGACACTAATACATCTTTAGATACATTATTACATGAGTTTATAATACAAGTAATACATGTACATGTATGATACAATTCAGTATATTTATTAAACATTTAAATGCCCTTTAACCCTGGATGTTTTTTTAAAAATTAAAATGCAAAATGGGCATCTGAATTAATTTTTACTAAATAAATTTATAATATAAAATGTATTTTAGTATATAACAGTACTCCTCAAAAGCAAACAGTGCTACACTATAGCCAAAGTTATTTTTTCCCTAAAGCTGTACTAGTAAAAAATATATTACAAAATGCATTAGCTAACACAACATGTAATTTGTGGTTTTTAATAGATCAAAATATTCCTGAACAAATTTGCCAAAAGTAACTAATATGTGGCACTTGAGAAAAAATATGTATTTATAGTAAATATCTGGTAGGCTCACAAAAAAACAAAATACAACATAAACTAAAAAAAAAAACAATTGTTGTTTTGGAAATAAAACTTGATAGCAAAATTTAAACTGTTGAAACTGAAACCACCATTGTTTTTATGACTCTTTGGTATTGCAAAATATGGCACATTTTACTTCATTTCAAGACAAAAAAAAATTTTGCTCTTTCCTTCATTTAATTCTTTTGGATTCACCTTTAATTTAAAAAAAAATATACACAGCTCAATAGAATAAACAGTTATTTTAAAAATACTATTTGTTTAAAGCACTATGTGATTAATTAATTAGGTACTGTTAACTTAATCATTATGATGTGATACCTGAATTCAGCTATTTAAAAGATAAAAAATGTAAGTATTTAAAAGATGAAAAATTCAACATTCAACTTGAAGCCACGGAACAGCTACAATTGTGTGATATGACTTAGCCAACAGTATCTCCATTATATAACATTTCAAGTGAAATGGAAAAGAAATATAACTGGTTTTTTTTGTTCTTTTTTTTGTAATAAATCATTAGAGTTGTACCTATCACATTTAGGTTAATGATTTTTTTCTTGTTTTGTGAAAACTAATAAAAACTGGATTTAATAGTCACTAATGAACCACCGATTCTAAACTTCCGACAAAATAAATTTAAGCCATTGTGATATAATTTTGTTTAATACCAAATCATTTGAAATGTTTTTTGGCGTTGATTTTGATGTCAATTCAAAATGTGTCAGCATTTCGTTGCGTTTATGGATATATTCATGTTATTGAATGAACACAATATTTTAATTAAAACTGTAGTAGTTGTTTATTGCACTTCAACAATATAAAACATGTAATACACTCAAAACAAATACTTAACACCTAACCAAAACTAACAAAAATCAGCAGCTTTTGATCACCTTATTTAGACTGTTAAAAGTATAATCCAAATTGCCAGATTTTTAACATCTTGAAATAAAACTTAATATCTGGTACAAAAAATTGATAAACTTAATTTAAGAGAAAAAAACTGTTACATAAACTTGTTCTTTTTTTTTTTCACTAAGTTTTAGAATTTTAGCCTATAAAAAAACAGCTTTATTAAAAATTAAATTATAAGCTGATGAACTGGTGAATGTATCATCATATACTCTTGATTTTATATAATCAGAAAGAAAAAGTTTAGTACTCTATAGAGGAAATGAGCTTGCTGATTTAGTTAACATCTAAAAATAATGTTTAAATTGCATGTATGTTGAGAAAATTTTATATTAAAAATTAAGCTAAAATGGCTAAAAGTAATCTAAAATCTATACACCATAACTTTATTTTTTTGTGATAATTTAATACATATTTGTTAAAAAGATATGTCTTCTAATGTGTAATATCGTTAAATAAAAGTCTAGTGACAAAAATGTAAATTTAGATATACTTGTTGAGAAGTAAATATGCAAGCTTCTGGAGAAACACAAAAACAACCCAAGAAACAATGTCTTATCAAATTACCAATTATTACTAAGAAAAAATTAGAACTTTAGGTAAGTATAATCAGTGTACTGAGTAAAAACCAGGAAGGGGTTGATTTTATTCTAGTAAAATAAAATAGTTTTTTTTATCCTGAAATACACAACTTTCATATTATGTTGTAATGAGAACTGAGATAATTTATTAAGACTTGACACTGAATGTGGGCTTAGCTTTAGTTGGCTGGCTCATCCATCTAAACCATTCTCGTGCCATATTAGAGATCATCAAAGCTTTTCCTTACTAAGAGGTAACATACATTTGCAGTAGTTACTATGTTTAGAGCCAGATTTCTTCAGCTCCAGTGACTAAACCAACAAACTAATTTTTTTTAGAAGTAATGTTTTTAAAAAAACAAAATGAATACTCAATATAACTTAATAAGACTGAACACAATGAACATTTCTAAATATATTCAGTCATTTAAAAATGCAGTCATATGATGTATTCATGAAATGTATTTTATACACAGCAGATTAAAATTGTACATTTTTGAATCACAGATTAAACCCCAGAAGATTTAAAAGTTTAATACAGAAATACAAACATACATTAGTTACAATCAATTATACAGGATAATTATATCTATTAAAATTTAAAGCATAATAGCAAATAACGTTTTTAAAAAGTTGATGTAAAATCTACCCTAAATTTCTTTTTCTTAAAAAACAACCCAAAAAAAAAACAAATAGCCTAAATCTGCTTCAAATTTAGAAAGCAAATTTGTAAAACTCATTTATTTAATAAATTCAAACTAATCTTCTGGATTAAAAAAAGAGGTTTTAAATTTTTAAAAATTTCTCATTAAAACTGATTATAACAAAACAATAAAAATTAACAGCAGCGCAAGCGATTTCACTTTAAAACTTTGAACTACAGTAAATACAAATGGGCAACAAATAAAAATGTAATTGAACACTGGAGAAACTTTCTACATATTAGTACAATTCACACTGGGATTTCAATAATACTTTAAAATAGTACTCAAGACTTTACATTTTTAACAAAACAAAGACATAATAATCAAATGACATAAAAATTCACCACTATGCAATTTTTCAAAATATCAATTGTTTTAAAATCTTTTTACCAAATCAAATCGATTTTAAAACACATTTTAGCACACTAAATTGTTTTACAATATTAAACAATAATTTACACATTAATATTCATATTGTCCATTGGCAGTATTCTAAGGCGCTTGGTTACGAACATGGATTTGGCTTGGAATATCTTTTCATGTTTGCAACAAGTTACAAACAGGGCTAGCAGCAACATCAACTAAGTTAACAATGACACAGACTAGTTCACTAATGCCAGTTAAGACATAGATGAGTGTACTTAAGATTTATAATCAAAACTTATAAACCTCAAGACAAATTACGTACATGAACAATGTCTTTTTTTTTACGATGGAAGCTGACATAAAATACACTTATATTTTTGCCTTGTATGAATACAACAATGGTCCCAGCATTGATGGTAATGAAAATGGGTAAGTATGGCTGGTTAACAGAATGGCAAATTTGACTTTAGAAATTTATTTATTCATCAATTTAGTTTTTAGAAAAATTGGTCCTAATATTATTTAAGCTACATAAAATATTTCTTGGTCAAACTACATTAGGTCCTATACATATATCATATATATAACTTTATTAGAATTGTATTGGTTTTTAACCATTTAGCAAAACTGATAAACATGATTTGAGGGAAATGTTAGGAGAACGTGATGCTATGCTGAAGATGAATCATCCATTGAAGTCTGTGTGGGCAGTAGCTGTTTGTATGAAATCAGTTCCTGCTGAGCATTGTGGAGATCTTGTGAGAGCTGAAGCTCGGATTCTTTAAGGGCTTTAATTTCTTTCTGCTGGGCCTGGGGTAATAATCCAAAATATTTATCAAATTTTATTTCAAGAATATTATAAAAACCAAGAAGGCAAAAAGAAAAAAAGAGAATGAAAAAAAATTTAATTTTTTTTTTTAAATTTTCACATCTTTGGTTTTTATATCACAAAACATATTTTATTTTTTAAATCACACAAGTCACTTGATGAAATATTTATAAAATTGAAGGCTTTTATAAAACACAGGCATGTAAAATGAGCCTAATCCATTTTTTTTGATTATTTAAAAAAAAACCCCAAGTACTGTACTTAAAGAGTAGGCTACATACAAGAAATTGCCAAGCTAAAAACTATTGGTAATGTGCTTAGTCTTACAGCCTTTAAAAAAGAATGTTAGGAAAAAACTACTAAGCGTGAATTAAAAGAAAAATTATTGGAGAACACCTTACCGCATGCTGTCGAAGTAAATCATGTTTTTCACTTTTCAACTTATGTATTTCACTTCTAAGTTGGTCAATTTGTCGTTGTAACTGATCATGCACTGAAAGAAAGAAGCAAACATATCCATGCAGCTTTGTGGGTAAGTACTGCTAGAATAGCCATACAACAGGGTATCAACTCTTGGAATCTCTATAGACTATAACCCTATCTCATTCCTGTATTTAACTAAACGGAAACAGTGTGGAATAAGGCTTGGTAGATTTTAGGTTCTAGGTTTTTCTTTTATCACTAGCTTGGAGTTAAGACGTTTTTTGTCAAAATTGAGATTTGAATACAAAATTATTCAGTGTTAGAATTTAAATCTTAAAGGGTTTTGGAATAATGCTTTAACAAAGAACATGAAAATTTCTACACAAATTGGTTAATATTGAACTGCTTTTCATTTTCAAGGAATAAATTATAGATAATTTTTAACTTGAGTGATTTCAATCTTAATAATTCAAAATAGTATCATAATGAAAATACTTTTTTAATGAAAGTGGTAGAGCGAAAATGTGAGTGCAATTAAAAAAAGGAAAGCAAAAGTTTAAAGCAATTAGCCATGCTTTAGACTAATAGTTTTAAAACCTAGACTGTGTTAAGTTGGGTAATAGCTAAATGAAGGTAGGATACTCACCATCACTTTCCAAAGAAAATAAATATTCCCCAGCATAAGGGGCTGAACTCAGTGTTGTTGTGTTTGGTGTTCCAGTTGAGGACATACTCTCCTGTAAAACAAAAGTTTAAAAATAATTATTTCATTAAATTTAGTCTTAAGTTTTTTATTTTAAATCTCAAGGCAATTTGTAACCAAATTTGTTATTTGAAACAAGGAAATTTTGTTTTAAGCAAGAAACATAAGCCTTAGAATAATAAAAAAGACTTTGATTTTAAACTTTCTCAGTACAATAAAAAAGACATTGTTGAAATAATTATTTTTAAGTGCTATTAATATTTTAAATAAAAATGAACATTACTCATTTAGTTTTAAGCTATGCATTAGTTTTTTTACATTTTGATTTAATTGAAAAAGAAATTTAAAACACTAGACTTATTTTAATTACTAGTTTAAAAAACAAAATGTAATAAAATGCTAACCATTACCATGCCCGTATCAGAGTCTTCATGGTTACAGTTCTTTATGTTATTGCTGTTGGTAGTGTTGCCAATGTTATTGTTGATGTTATTGTTGTTGTTGTTATTGGCGGGGAACTCCTCCATACTGTTGAAACTGCTTTCAGAGTTGGAACGTGATATGAGTATTAACTGGTTTGTTCTGAGGACAAAATATACATGTGATTGACAGACTAAACTATAAGATTAACATGAAAAAAAACCAGTGGTAAATTTAGTTTAATATTAAGACATTATTGTAGCTTTGCAACCAATTTGTTTTCAGCTATGTATGCATATGCATGCTGTATAATGTGAATCTTGAACACAATTCAATTTAATTTAATAACTGTTAGGGGAATATCTCCATATGAAAGAAATTCCACATGAATTAGATAGTCTTCATAACACTAGTAGGCTCATGCTATTAATTATTTCTCTATTTGTTAATTATTTGTATTTTTGTTTTTTTAATAGTTTCAATCCTTGTATTTTTTTTCACCAGAAGATGTGATGTATTACAATACCAGTAAAAACTACTAATAAAACTATTCTAAATATATGTTGGTGACAAAGATAAAAGTAAATTACCTTGTAGTGGAAGAAATACTGCTTGGACTTGACTGTGGACTTTGTGGAGGACTTACACAGGTTGGGTATGTCAATCCTGTATGTGTGCTGTCTATGCGAAGATTACTAAAACAAGAAAATTAAAATTGTGTCAATATACATATTTCTATTTGGAGAATAAAAAAAATTCTTTATTGTGTGGACATGAAATATAAACTTACTTTTTACTATCTCTGTTTGATTTAGGCTGCTTTTCAAATGAAGAGGAAAACTGTCTGACCAGATTTCTGGGTGTTGATGGAGACTTGCGCACCTAACAAAATTATTAAATCTTTTAAACATGTCATAAAAATCTCAAGCTTTATAAAATTGGATGCATTTTATGAGTTAAAATAAATGTTAGATTTTAACATTAAAAAAGCAATCTTTTAACTATTATTAATTGCAGAAATGTTTGAGATTTTTTCTTTTTAAAAATTGCAAATAGTTGCATTTAATTAAAAAAAATATTTGAAAATTAAAATATTTTTTTTAATAAATTGTAAAATTGCGTTAATACTAATAGTCAAGCATAAAACTTTAATGGCAAAAAGTTCTGTTATATCTTAAATAAGAAGTTATTTTCAATCCACAATTTTTTATTCCAATCTAACTGTAACTTAATGGAAATTAAAGTGTTTAAATTGTTGGTAAAATTGTAATTTAATGAAAATTAAAAAAAAACTGGCAAAATTGTAATTTAATGAAATAAAAGTGTAAAAAATAGTGATAATATTGTAATTTGATGAAATAAAAATGTTAAAATTACCGGTGAACTTGTCCCTTTTTCATCTTCCCCCACTGTGGCCAAGGAACCCTGCATGCCATTCATCTTCTTCTGGCTGGGCAAGCTGTTGGACTCCACACTGGGACTCCTCCCCTTGCCACTGAAAGCTCTCTTCACAGAATCCAGCAGTCTGCTTCCTTCCTGTTTAGCTGTTGGTACAGAGGACAACCCAAACATCTCCATATTTTTCTTATGCAGGTCTAAGTACAAGGATTCCAGCAGTGATGCCCTTGTCCGATGCTGGGGGTGAGAAATTCAATGTTTAGAATATGTCTTAAAAAATACATCAAGATGATACATATTTTTTAAATCAGAGCAAAAATTGCATTAAAAAGAAGTTAATAAATGTAAGAAAACAATTTGATAAAAAAAAACTGAATAGAATAAACAAAATATTGAAGAAGAATAAAACATGTAGAAAATAAATAATGTATTAGTAACATTCAAATTTGAATTGACATACCCCAAGTTTGGCAAACTGATCTGCCTTATAACAAGCAAGTTCAGCATTGATCAACTTTGTAAGGAGAAATTCTCGGAACTCTTCACCCTAGAAACCAGAATAACATAAGTTCTATAATGCATGCCATATACATAGGTCTGCTAGTGTATTTTTTAAAAAGACTATTTAAAATACAAAGAAAAAACAACAACAGATAAGGGCATAAACAATGAATAAAGGCAGGTCTTTTCCTTACTACAGAAGAAAATCTGAATGTAAGGCTAGCAATAATTTAAAAAAAAAACTTACAGCAACAAATTCTGCAGGCTGAGGCAACACAGGGTAAAATCTTGGCACATCTTTTCTTGCTGCTACAGATATCTAAACACAAACATTTTTAAAATGTCAAATTTATTCATATTAGTATACTATGTGTTTAAAACATTGATGCAAATGTTCAAGAGATTCTTCAGAATGCAACTATGCGATTTATGTCAAAGATAAAATTTAAGTCTAAACATATTGAACTTAGAACATGCATTCCAAGAGTTCTTTATCCAAGACTAAATGTGTGTGATAGTTAAGTCTTTAAAATAAAAATCTTTAAAACACATAAGGAATTTAAAATGTCTTTATTGATACACAAATCAATAGCTATTAATTTAAAAAAAATGTGTCTGTAGTGAATTTATAGATAGACATGGTAGATGTAGTTAAATGTCTAGAATACCTTGTATCTGGGTGGTCCTGAATCTGATGCTACTGGCTGAACAACTATAAAACAATGCAGGAAATGGGAGGCAATCATGTCTGGCACAAATGGAGTGTTCTCTTCTTGAAATACTATGGCAACTATATCGTTTCCAATATGGCGCTTGCGTTGTAACTGTGAAAAAATAAGAAATAGGCCATTAAATAAAGTATTGAAAGACGGTTTCCGATAAAAACAAAACTAATAAATAAAAAGACACTTCAATTATTAAAAATATGTTGTTTAACTGTATTTATGTTTAATTAATATTTGAAAAAACAACAAAAAAAAAAACAACTTAATTAAACTAAACTAAGTTTAAGTAAATTTAATTGACTAAGTCCATAATATAAAACATTACAGACATTAATGTAACCGTGACATGAGTTATGTATGTATTATTTATTTATTTAAGTAAGAGCAGTATCTATCCTGTACCAACCTGTTGTGGATCCCCCTCCGTGTATGGAAGAAGGGTTGAGATGTGGAACATGATTTCTTTACCATTGTACTGGGTGTACACTGACTCAGCCCCTGTTTGGCAATGGGTTGTGTCCAGTCCACCTCGGAATCTGTAAAGATTTTTTGTTTTGTTCTAAAAATGTGTCTGTTTATCAATGTTAATTCAAATCTTCTACACAAAGATTACTAACTTAGTCTTGACATAAATTTTATAAATACATCTATGTAGCGTAAACATTTTGTATTACTTCTAGAATAATTATTGAATTTTATCTATATAATTATTAAAATTTCATTAGTTACAGTGTTTAATTGTTAGAAAATCATTTTAAAAATATGGAATATTGCAGTTTTAAAAAGCATTAATGTATTATTAAAAAAAATAATTAAATTTTCCACATGCAATAGTTTGTTGAGCAATGTTACACAATAAACTGTTTGAAAGATAGAACTACGAAAATAACACTAAAAGCTACAACTTACCCCTTAAAATCCTTGAGCTGCACTTTGTCCCCAATGGTTTGAAGAAATGTATCCATGGCTGGGCTATGTGTCTTGTTGCCAAACAGTTCCTCTTCACTGGTCTACAGAAATAAAGTTGTCAACACGCATTTAATTATAACATAATTACTTATGTGTTACCTAGTGTTAATAGTTATTCTAAAGACAGATTTTCAAGTGTCAGAATTAAGGACCAAAATATATTCTTAATTTTCTCATTAAAAATAAGCTTGATGTAGATGCTATTGGAAACTACTGCTTCAATTTCTAAGCCACATAAGAGACAAAAGATTAAAAATGTGTCTCTCCATAACCAAGTAGATCTAGTTTTGCTAGAAATACTAGAGATATACTATGTTTAGGTAAGAATTTCAATTTGAATATATACGCAGAGCTTGTTATAAAAGTTCATGTTAAAGAAAAGTGACCTGTTCTTTTTACTTGTAGAGATATATCAGCCTATTATAAAAGTTCATGTTTCAAAAAACTAACCTGTTCATTCTTCTGGTAGAGATATATCAGCTAATTATAAAAGTTCATGTTAAAAAAAACTGACCTGTCCTTTCTTCTGGTAGATGACACCAAACTTGAAGTTGTGAGTGAGTACATGTTCATCGTATGACATCACAAGGTCAGAACCCTGGAATCAGATATCATCCAGCGTTTGAGTTACAAGATCTCGTTTGGTAACTTAATTAGGAATTGGTTCATTAGACTTAAGGCTGGTCTAATGTTGGCATGGATACTCCCACCTCCCTAGATCTCATTTAATCACTCATGATGAGCCATGAGCCACCCATTCAGAAATCAGCGGATGCTCTTTGAAAACCCATAACAAGAGTTCACCTGCCTTAGCCCTAACTCAGTCTTATGGTGTCATGCCAATTCTAACAAAGTTTCTACCACTAACCAAAAGTATACTCAGTATATATTAGCCTTTCATTCCAAACCTTCCCGCACTAATATAAATCTAAACCTAACATGCCTGTGGAAGTAGTGGGGGGTGGGTATGATAGGCTACCTTAGCTAAAGTCTCATTGATTTTTTGTCTGATCTCCAAAAAGAGATAAAAAAAAAGGGCATTGAACTCACCTTTAATGAGAGTACAGGCTGAAACCTGTCTGTTGTAATTTCTTCACAAACAGACTGGGGAAACAAAGTAAAAATAAAACTTAGTTTTGTTTTCAAAAACTGGTGACTGTGGGTGTGGCTTATCTGTGTAAATGTGTAGAAATCTACATAGCTTCAGCTAAAGTTAACTGACAAAGTTGTATGCATATTATATTAGGACAAAGAATCATTTCAAAGAATGTTGTAAAAAAAATCTATCTAGATCTAGATTTAGATCTGATTAGGTTTTTTTTAGGAGGTCTAGTTAGTCTAGTGTTTAAAAAAAAAGTGTTTTTTTTTTTAAAGACGACGCCCTTCACTGTTTTAAAGACTACACTAGACCAGTGGCGTAGCGATGTCGGGTGTCACCCGGTGCGGCACTTAATGGTGTCACCCCCCAGAGGCATAGCGACCCTTCCCGGCAATAAACTTTCAAATTTTCGATTTGCACCCCCCCCCCCCCTTAAACTTCCGATTTGAACCCCGCCCCTCAAACTTTCGATTCCCCCCCCCCCTCCCCCTTAAACTTTCGATTTGCACCCCCCTCAAGTTTTTCTCTATATATTTTGCTATTTTTTGCCTTGTTGTCACCCCCCTAAATTGTGTCACACGGTGCGGTCCGCACCCCCCCGCTACGCCCCTGCACTAGACTAAATATAGTCTTTTACTGAAATACTGTGGCCATAGTTAATGACATCCATCAAGAGCTAAAGCAGTTGAGATCATCTTTAGGCTACAGTTACATGGTGTTTCCTATATTAGCGCCAATAGAAAATGTTTGGTTCTTTTATAAAATGGGACACAGTCCACTCCATAATTTACCCGCTTCAGTACTTTGATGTATAGTATAGTTATAATTTAGAGGAAGGGGTGTGGTAAAAAGTAGGTTTACATTACTGTCGACGGGTTTAGGTAATGAGCGGGAAGTCACAATTTTAACATATAAGACGTGGCTTTCTGTACTTTAATAAAGATCAACGAACTACATTTTTGACAAGCCGGATTATTAACTACAAGCTGTCATTATCAATTTAAAAAAAAAGGTTGAAGAAAAACCGAATGCCACACTACTCAATCAACACCAGCCAAACCGGCCTAACTAACGTATTCATGTCCAGATAAATCACTCATCTCCAGCCAGAAATAGGCCGAATTTTTTTATTTTTTTTTTGGCTCGGCGCAATCGATTGCTTAACTGCAATAGAAATAGGACGGAAACAAGAGGCAAAAAAAAATAACCCGTTACGAAACGGAAGAAAAGTGTGTGTGTGTGTGTGTGTGTGTGTGTGTGTTGGGGGGGGGGGGGGGTCGGGATTGGAAAAAAGAAATAGCTTCTTAGACAATACAGCCAGAAAGAAAACCAATAAACAACTTTTATTAATAAAAGAAATTATCACTGTAATGGGGGAAAAAACGGAGAAGAGTGGAGGCGGTAAAATATATATCAAATAACAGAGCATAACCTTATATTTAATAAAAGCAACTCCCTCCGGCTATATTGCAATATATAATATGACTCAAAAAAATATAATCCCTTTTCTATCCAGATTTAATATTTTTTCTCTAAATTACCGCATGACTGCGTGATATATTTGTTTTAATCAAGTATAAAAATATGAACACCCGTGGTCAACGAACTGTATATGTCCTAGGGCTATATAACCGAGCCTTAGGTCTATTTACGTCCCGCATCATACGCTAAGGTTGTGTACCCCACGATAGCTAAACCGAGTTGATCCGTCCAGTCAAACAGAACCCAACACGGAGAAAATTCAAAGACGTTTCAAAGCTAATGAACAACATCAAAGAAAAATAATCAATGCTTTTGAGGATCCGCGCTCGCCTAATTTGAAATTAGTTCAAACAAATCTCATTGAAGGAACGCAAGCGTATTTTAAAAGATAATGGGGTAAGATAGAATTAAAAATAAGTTTTGTTTTGATCGCCGGGTAGGCCGACTGCACTGTGCAAAAACAAAAAACGTTAATCTACAGTATATATCTAGGGAAAACGTAGGTTTTAGAATAGTGACAAAGCTACAGTATCACCACCGGCTTTAAATATAAGCCCCGTCATCTAACCTAGTATCACAACCTCATGAAACATCACTATCTAAACTTATATCACCATCTCACTTAGTACCATCAGATTACCCCATATCACAACATCACCTAATATTACCATCTAGTATCACCACCTCACCTAATATCACCACCTCACCTAATATCACCACCTCACCTAATATCACCACCTCACCTTGTAACGTTAACCTATCTATCAGCCAAATAGAAGGAGAACGTCCCCGGATTCTTTTTTCGGGGTCATATGCAAATGCCTTACGGCCTAAGTGGATGAACACTTAACACAACGACACACTAGGGCTCGCATTCAATGTCTAGGGAAACTAGTGATACTATTGTAATTAACATTCATCCAATCTACATACGACCTTTTAATCAGCGAACACAGTTGTGGCAGAACACAAGGATGAACTAGATAAAATATTTAATGTATAAAATATCAAAATCCAACTTACAAAATGTAGGAAAAAACTCTATCACAGATTTCTACACTGTCTAATAATAGCCACAGGCCACACAACACTGCTGTAGCTTCAGGAATTACTTAGCGACAAGTAATATTAAACTAGAAGACTAAATCAACTTAAGAAAGCAAGGCACACACAGGTCTTAAGTACTCTCACGTTCAAATGGTCAGAGTCTATAGCCGGACAATATGGACGGCTGCCTGATCAAGGTAAAACTGCCTCGTAGACTGCCAGGTCAAGATAAACTGCCACGTGTTGCGAGTGTGCAGTGCAATTAAAGACTTCTGTGACAGGGGAGGTTATCCTCAACTCATGTCGCCATTGGTTGGGATAATCATCTGATCAGAATCATTCAATCAGATCTTAATGGAAAATTTCTATGTCTCAAACACCTTAATAAGTCAGTGGAAAAACCCCAGGTGTTACACCATCATTCCATATAAGGAATTATACAATGTCAAAATAAAAATGACTCGACCTAAGTAGGTCACAACCTAATATCACCACCTCACCTAATATCACCACCTCACCTAATATCACCACCTCACCTAATATCACCACCTAGTATCACCACCTCACCTAATATCACCACCTCACCTAATATCACCACCTAGTATCACCACCTCACCTAATATCACCACCTCACCTAATATCACCACCTAGTATCACCACCTCACCTAATATCACCACCTCACCTAATATCACCATCTAGTATCACCACCTCACCTAATATCACCACCTAGTATCACCACCTCACCTAATATCACCACCTCACCTAATATCACCATCTAGTATCACCACCTCAACTAATATCACCACCTAGTATCATCACCTCACCTAATATCACCACCTCACCTAATATCACCATCTAGTATCACCACCTCACCTAATATCACCACCTAGTATCACCACCTCACCTAATATCACCACCTCACCTAATATCACCATATAGTATCACCACCTCACCTAATATCACCACCTCACCTAATATCACCATCTAGTATCACCACCTCACCTAATATCACCACCTAGTATCACCACCTCACCTAATATCACCACCTCACCTAATATCACCATATAGTATCACCACCTCACCTAATATCACCACCTCACCTAATATCACCATCTAGTATCACCACCTCAACTAATATCACCACCTAGTATCATCACCTCACCTAATATCACCACCTCACCTAATATCACCATCTAGTATCACCACCTCACCTAATATCACCACCTAGTATCACCACCTCACCTAATATCACCACCTCACCTAATATCACCATATAGTATCACCACCTCAACTAATATCACCACCTAGTATCACCACCCCACCTAGTATCACCACCTCACCTAATATCACCACCTCACCTAATATCACCATCTAGTATCACCACCTCACCTAATATCACCACCTCACCTAATATCACCATCTAGTATCACCACCTCACCTAATATCACCACCTAGTATCACCACCTCAACTAATATCACCACCTAGTATCATCACCTCACCTAATATCACCACCTCACCTAATATCACCATCTAGTATCACCACCTCACCTAATATCACCACCTCACCTAATATCACCATCTAGTATCACCACCTCACCTAATATCACCATCTAGTATCACCACCTCAACTAATATCACCACCTAGTATCATCACCTCACCTAATATCACCACCTCACCTAATATCACCATCTAGTATCACCACCTCACCTAATATCACCACCTAGTATCACCACCTCACCTAATATCACCACCTCACCTAATATCACCATATAGTATCACCACCTCACCTAATATCACCACCTCACCTAATATCACCACCTAGTATCACCACCTCACCTAATATCACGATATAGTATCACCACCTCACCTAATATCAACACCTCCCATAATATCACCTCCCATAATATCACCACCTCACCTAATATCATCATCTAGTATCACCACCTCACCTAATATCACCACCTCACCTAATATCACCATATAGTATCACCACCTCACCTAATATCACCACCTAGTATCACCACCCCACCTAGTATCACCACCTCACCTAATATCACGATATAGTATCACCACCTCACCTAATATCAACACCTCCCATAATATCACCTCCCATAATATCACCACCTCACCTAATATCAACATCTAGTATCACCACCTCACCTAATATCACCACCTAGTATCACCACCTCACCTAATATCACCACCTAGTATCACCACCTCACCTAATATCACCACCTCACCTAATATCACCATATAGTATCACCACCTCACCTAATATCACCACCTAGTATCACCACCTCACCTAATATCACCACCTCACCTAATATCACCATATAGTATCACCACCTCACCTAATATCACCACCTAGTATCACCACCCCACCTAGTATCACCACCTCACCTAATATCACCACCTCACCTAATATCACCACCTAGTATCACCACCTCACCTAATATCACGATATAGTATCACCACCTCACCTAATATCAACACCTCCCATAATATCACCTCCCATAATATCACCACCTCACCTAATATCAACATCTAGTATCACCACCTCACCTAATATCACGATATAGTATCACCTCCCATAATATCACCTCCCATAATATCACCACCCCACCTAATATCACCACCTCACCTAACATCACCACCTCCCCTAATGTCACCACCTAGTATCACCACCTCACCTAATATCACCATCTAGTATCACCACCTCACCTAATATCACGATATAGTATCACCACCCCCCTAACATCACCACCTCCCCTAATGTCACCATGTTACCCACAAAACTCTCTCACCTTGGCGATCTTGGCAGGATAAGGTACATCAGAAGGTGAGCAGTGAAAAATTTCTTGACGTGTACAAAACCTTGTCCTAGAAGAATAGAAAAAAATCATCTTTAAAACTCTTTCTGTCCATGTATATCTACAATACACAATTTAGCGCTAGCTAGAGACTATATTTGATGCCTTCATGGAGGTCGGCGTGGACAGGTTGGTTAAACTCATGGTTGCTGAATTGAAAAGTCGCGGAAATAGCAGGCTGAAATCGGAGTCAACGGCCAATAAAACGCAAAGCAATAATACTTGTGTTGGAGGGAATCTCTTCCAACCCTAAAAGTTAAGAGCGAAGAAGAATAATAAGAAAAAAGAAGAAAAAAAAGAAGGAGGAGAAGAAAGAAGATGGCTTAGTAAAAAAAAAGAAAACATTTCTAGTCACGTCTTTTAAACTCAATACCAATAAATAAAAATCGCATGTTTTTGCACATTTTAAATTACCCCTGGTTAATTAATTAAAATCGATGGTTAATACGGAAGTGTCGCCAAAATCAAATCTTTGAATATAGTTATGGTGAAAAATTTACTTAACGTCAAATCAGCAACGTTACATTTGGAGATAAAAATATATTGAAAACATAACAGAAGCAGCATTTTAAAATCGTTAAAAAAATAAAAACTACGATTTACTTTCTGACCAAAACCTAAAGGGAAACATCAAACTGTTGTCTTTTTTTGGTTATATTTTAAAAAAAAAATACGTGTCCTTTTAAGAAAATTTTCCTCGATTTAAAGACCTCACAAGCACCTTACAATGACGTTATACAACAACAACAGACCTAGATTTAAAGAACTCTTCATTACCTCACAATGGCATTGACACACTCAACGGGGGACGACTCAGATCGTATAGACATCACAACTGGTCCGATATTCTCGTCCAAGGCGTAGTAATTAAAATGTTCCTACATTGTAAAAAAAATCTTATTAATTAGAGGTTATAAGGACGATAATTAATATCCGGTTTCTGAAAAGTACAGTGTCATAAAAGAAAGACAATCTTAGGAGCATAGTATTGGGCTGGGTATTAGAAGATAGAACTAGATAAAATTATTTGTTAGATTTTATTAAATACATTAATTAATGTGCAAAAATTAATTAACTAATGTGTAAAATGTAGGTCTATATTATAAAAATAACCAAGTATTGTTGTCGTTGCTTTACGTTTTTAAAAAAAAATGTTTCGGATTGACCGGAGTTCTTAACCTTAGTCTGTAGAGGGAGAGAACAACAGTCTTTTTTTGGAGATAAAATCATCATGGGACGTAACCAAAGGAGCGCCCCTTGTTTTTGTGTCAGAGATACGTTGATACATACTGTTTGGGTAAAGAAAAAAAAAGAAGTCCTCTTGTGTGTTTATGTGTGCGAGATGGGGGGGGGGGGGGGTTAATTAGGGGTGGCGGTAAAAAAAAAAAGAACAAACCATATTAGGAACCCAACCTTTGGGACGCCCCTGGGTTAGAACACGGTAATGGAGACTGTTGAAATACAAGACACGGCACACACACACCGGAAACGAACGAATCGATCCCAACATGCGCACGGGCTAGCCATACGTCAATTACAACATTAGGACGATCTGGGGTATGGGGGGGGGGGAGGAGGAGGGGAGGGTTCAGAGGAAGGAGGAGCGATTAGTTATCAGAGAAGGGGGAAAAACATCTTTTGAGTCACCATAGTGCGATACGAAAATACGTAAATACTTTTAAGCCTTGTTGACACCCTTAACTAACGATAGCATGTTGTTTTTCTTAAAAAAATCTATTCATATATAAAGATCATTGGACGGAGTGGTCTAGCGGTAGAAAGCTGGACTGCTAACCCGTAAGTCTCGAGTTCGAATCGGGTTCCGAATTCGTCCCTGAGTCCACCCAACTCAGATGGGTACCTAACTCATGTTAGGGAAAGTTAAGGCGGCTGGGCTTAGTGCTGACCACAGACCCATAGACCGTCAGGTTTGAAAGGGAACTTTACTTACACTTACATCAAGATCAAAGGTTCCCAAAAGCTCGACTATCAAGTCCCATAACAATTTAACCATACTGCCTGCATAGCAATTATATTCGTAGTTTTTAAACACTTGGTTTATTTTTATCTAAAAGCTCCATCCCATCTATCGCTAGCACTTTAGGGATCGTCCTTAACCTTCATCAATATAAATCAAAACGAGGACCGCTGAACCTAATTAATTCCAGCGTATGTCATGAACAAGTCTATATTTAGTAACTATCCGTTTCCTCTTGGATGTTTATTGCTTAAAATTACTCTAAACAAAAGCACCAGGCTCAAATTTCACCATGTTGCCTCTACATAGCCCATCATTACCACACTGAAAATGGAAACTTCGCACTTTTAAAGCGACTGTTTTTAGCGCCCCCCAGCCTTGACCGTTATAGGAACAGCAACATTTTTCCAGGGGGATAACTCCGTCTCAAGGCCGGATTGAGAGTGTCCATGTCTAATGGCGTCGTGTTAGTACAGAGACCAGACAGTTCTGGAACCGTTTCTCAAGGACAATAACATTTTTTTTCGATTCTATATTTTAAAAAAAAACATCGAGACTATTTCGTACAAGTGCTTCGTTTGAAACGCACGACAAAATTAATCTAGCGCTAAGCGCTTCCATAACTATGCTACTTAAAGATAAAGATGAGTTTTTTTATATTATTATTTTTTAATTCAGGATAACCCATTGGTGTAGGTAAAACTGTAGCCTCCCCTGGCCGACTAGATTTCATAGACTCATTGTAATCTTTGTATGAGAAAATTGAGCATCTATGTGTGCTTCTAAGGTCTTAAGCGGCGCTGAATTTTTAGGGTTTCTATAAGTAATCACATCTGGCATTACGTAATTATTCCAAACCTTGCACGTACTCCGAATCATGTACCCTCTTCTAAACATGTACGTACTATGCATCCTCTACGCATTATGAACCATGTTTGTACTCCGAAATTTGTACGTACCATGAACCATATACATGTTCGTACAATCAACCTTGTACATACTCAAAACAATGTACGTGCTCCAAGCCATGTACGTACTCCGAAACATGTACGTACTCTGAACAATGTACGTACATGAACCATGTATGTACTCCGAACAATGTACGTACTATGAACCATGTACATGTACGTACTATCAACCGTATATATGTAAGTACTATCAACCTTGTAGCCTACATACTCAAAACAATGTTAGTATTCCAAACCATGTGCGTACTACGAAACATGTACGTACTCTGAACCATATACCTACTCCAAACTCTACACGTATACACTACTGAGTACGTAGCCTGGAGCATGTTTCTCGTTGGAGCAGCATTTAAACAAAACATGTAATCCATTCTATTTCTATTGAGTCACTCTAACCCGTGGAGTAGGTCACGGCACGTTCTGCTCACGTCACTTCACGTGACCTAAATTCAGCACTCGAACGATTGTTTCGGCTGCTCCATAAATCAAATCAACGAACTCCAAAGTTTCGATCACCTGACGTATAATCGATGAGGGGAGATTTATTTCCACTCAGATTAGGGAGAAATATTTTTTCTTCTTTGTTCTTCTGAGAGGTCCGCTATTTATTTTTTGTTTGTTTTTTGTTTTTGCAGAACTAATTAAGAGGAGAGCTCTTCACTCTTCACTGAAAAAGTTTACAATTGTCGAACACATGATGCTGGGGTCTGATAATAACATTGTAATCGTCTCCTCTTATCTGCAACGTCGCGGTGTTTCAGGTTGCTAGTAGTCAACGTGTAACTATTATTACTTACTTAAATTTACTTCTATTAAAACTAACCGTATTCCTTACGGTAAGTGCTAAGACCCAAAACAGATACTAGGTTACTAATATAAACCTGATGCCCTTTTTGTTATTGAAATCTATTTTTATAGCATGGTAGGGCCAAAACAACAAACACACCTAGCGACGGGACCTTGAGGTGAAATAACATAAATGGGCTACACATGAAGTCAGGTTGAGAAAATGACACAGGACAGAGGACTCTGGAGATCTTTGGTTGCCGGCCAATGAAATACCCCAGCATGGGTGACGTATAGTGATGATTATTACTGAAAGCAATATACTAAATACACCCCTAATTTTTGGAATAGCCCGTTCCCGAATTACTGCACACTACTAATTTTATATTACTACTACTTTTTTGAAGAGTCCATTCTTAAATACCAGCACACAACTGATACTATACTACTACTAACAACTATACACCCTTAATTTTTGCAATAGTCCCATCCCATCCCAGATATTTATATTACTTTACTTTTAACCGCCATACACCCTAAATATTTAAGAGTCCTTTTGCAGATATTAAAAAAGGGAGATAATAAAGAAGAAAAAACTCACCAAAATCTAAGCAAAAGGAAAAAGGGAGATAATAAAGAAGAAAAAAAATCACCAAAATCTAAGCAAAAAAATAAATAAAAAAAAAGGCAGATAATAAAGAAGAAAAATCTCACCAAAATCTAAGCAAAAGAAAAAAAGGGAGAAAATAAAGAAAGAGAAAAACCTCACCAAAAAATGTAAGCAAAAGAAAGTCTCACCTTGCCGTAGAACTCGCACCTGTAGCACTGGGCCATGAAGTCCGTGTCGATGCTCAGCTCACTGGCACTGGGGTGGAGGGAGGTGATGGACTCGTGGACATTGTCCTCCTCCGAGGTGAAGAAGCCATCACTCCCCTCCATCCAGTACCCCCCTCGGGGCGGCAGCACGATCATGGGGTACGGCCCTCCGCGCTGGAGTATCTGACGAGTTGGAGTTGAGACTAATTAGGATTTATGTTAAACCTTATTATGATTAAAGTTCAACTCTAACTAGGAACACTGGTTTGGATTAAAGTTAAACATGAATTAGGTTTTAGAGTTAAACACTAATTAGGATTAAAGTTAAAGAATAATTAGGATTTAAGTTAAAAAATATTTTGGTTTAAAGTTAAAGAATAATTAGGATTTAAGTTAAACACTGGTTAGGATTAAAGTTAAACATGAATTAGGTTTTAAGTTAAACACTAATTATGATTAAAGTTAAAGAATAATTAGGATTTAAGTTAAAAAATATTTTGGTTTAAAGTTAAAGAATAATTAGGATTTAAGTTAAACACTGGTTAGGATTAAAGTTAAACATGAATTAGGTTTTAAGTTAAACACTAATTATGATTAAAGTTAAAGAATAATTAGGATTTAAGTTAAAAAATATGTTGGTTTAAAGTTAAAGAATAATTAGGATTTAAGTTAAACACTGGTTAGGATTAAAGTTAAACACGAATTAGGTTTTAAGTTAAACACTAATTAGGTTTAAAGTTAAAGACTAATTAGGATTTAAGTTAAAGACTAATTAGGATTTAAGTTCAACACTAATTAGGATGAGTTAACACTAATTAGAATTTAAGTTCAATTTTGAATATGATTTTAATTAAACGTCATTAGGATTCAAGTTCAATACTAATTAGGATTTTAGTTAAATTCTGACTAGGATTTAAGTTAATCACTAATTAGTATTAAACTTGAGTTAACCTAAAATTAGGATTTAAGTTAAACACTTATTTGGACTTAAAATTAAAAAAAAAAAACAAATCTTTTAAAAATACTATTAAAAAAAATGGTCGGATTTTATTTTTCCCACAGAACGCTGTGGAAAATGATCTTCTATCACAAGTTAAAGCAAGCTAATACATCACATAGGAAGCGGTCACCGAGAGGGAGATGGAGAAAAGGATGTTGGGCAGACAAAAAAGTGAAACGGGAAAAAAAAAATCTCTCTAATGGCGTCCAACATAGCTGACACGAATTCGTATTTTTAAAAATCCCGTGTGCACTGTTCATCGAGATTCGACGAACTTGTTTCAAATAATATGCAGATTTTCTTAGATCGCGGCTTTAAAGTTTTTTTTTGTTCTTTTATCTGGAGATTCGAAGGTTGGGATATCGAAAAAAAAAACCTACATAAAAAACAATAACAATAAGAACTGCTGTCTGTTACGTATTGTTGTATGCTAGATCTAAGTGTTAAATAGCTTTTGTTATATTTTCGTTTTTTTTTATTTTAATACAATCCTAACAGCTAAAAGCATTGATTATCTTGATTTTAAAATGTATTAGCTGGGCTATTAAAATAAACCGACAACTTAAAAAAATGTTTATGCTATTTGTTTCTTTAAAAATTGATTGGCTCAAAATTTTGTATTTTAAAATATGAATGAAACAATAAGGTTGAAAGCTGTCTCTCACAGAAATAAAAACACTCGTTTGTTGCTTATGCATACAATTTTTTAGAATAAATATTATTGGTTTTTTTTAGCTTACTAATAAGTTGAACTGTCGTTTAGTGAAAGTTCGTCAAATAGTTTTTTTTTGTTGGTAATTTTTCGGTTTCCATTTCTAATTTACAGTGTCTACGTTAACCTCTTTGCGTCTTTTTCGGAATTAAAATATTGTATAGTAGTACTAATTAGTTCAAGAAGATAATTATTTGAATTGTTCCAAAAAATAAAAGACCGTCTCAAGAAAAGAGAGAGCTACTTACGAGTTAAAGTAAAGAAGGCGTCACACTAAAACTGAAGGTTCGAATATTTGGACATTTTCAGTTGCTGCATTTTCAAAGGGTGTTTGAAAGCAATGCTCGACTGACATAATATTTGTGCTGGATCAGCCCCATAATCTGTGCGACTACCTAAACCACCGATCTGTGCGACTATCTAAACCACCGATCCGTGCGACTACCTAAACCACCGATCCGTGCGACTATCTAAACCACACGACTACCTAAACCACCGATTTGTGCGACTATCTATTCCACACGACTACCTAAACCACACGACCACCTAAACCACACGACTACCTAAACCACACGACTACCTAAACCACCGATTTGTGCGACTATCTATTCCACACGACCACCTAAACCACACGACCACCTAAACCACACGACTACCTAAACCACACGACTACCTAAACCACCGATTTGTGCGACTATCTATTCCACACGACTACCTAAACCACACGACCACCTAAACCACACGACTACCTAAACCACACGACTACCTAAACCACACGACTACCTAAACCACCGATTTGTGCGACTATCTATTCCACACGACTACCTAAACCACCGATTTGTGCGACTATCTATTCCACACGACTACCTAAACCACACGACCACCTAAACCACACGACCACCTAAACCACACGACTACCTAAACCACACGACTACCTAAACCACACGACTACCTAAACCAGCGATCTATGCGACTATCTAAACCACCGATCTGTGCGACTACCTAAACCACACGACTACCTAAACCACACGACTACCTAAACCACACGACTACCTAAACCACACGACTACCTAAACCAGCGATCACAGCTGACCAGGCTTGTAATCTTTCATCGATCGATCCACGAAAAAAAAATCGATATCTCGAGAAAGGTTTATTGTGACCACCTGTTGTCAGGTGACGGTACAGTGTCGTCTGGCAACTGTTCGCCCCTGCACAGCGGGGTCCCTTTTTAGTTTAAATATGGAAAGGTTAGGGGTCAAAGGGCGAGAGGGTGGGTGGTGGCTTATCGGGGAAACCCGAAAAAACAGATGGCGGTGAGCAAAGGTTCATGATAAGAAAGGATGTAGATAAAATAATAGGGGGATGGGGAGGGGTTTTGGTGGAGTGGGGGGGATTTAGGGTAGGGGCTTGTCCTCGTGAGGGGGATGATGTAGATAAAATAATGGGGAGATGGGGAGGGGTGTTTGGGGGAGTGGGGGATTTAGGGTAGGGGCTTGTCCTCGTGAGGGGGATGATGTAGATAAAATAATGGGGAGATGGGGAGGGGTGTTTGGGGGAGTGGGGGGATTTAGGGTAGGGGCTTGTCCTCGAGAGGGGGTATGATGTATGGTCGATCGGAGGGGACAAATTGTGAGGTGCCCGGGAAATACGTAATCATTAGCGTCGATAATTGGACAGACAGCAATCTGGGTAGAGAAGGGAAGGTGGGGGGGGGGGGGGGGATAAAATAAAGTTTCGTAGAGCTAGGGGAAGCTGGGATTGAGAGAGGAATTCATTAGAAGGTGATCAGGCTCGCGCTAGATGGTAACTTTAAATGGTAAATCTGATTTTTTTTTCTTTTTTAAGTAAATATAAATTTTAAATCTTGGTTACATGTAGGTGGATTATAAGATTTTGACTCTAACAGAGAAATTTGAGTGGTTTATCTAAAATGTTAACTCTGAATTGTAATTTTAAAATGGTCACTTTTAGGTTGTGAATATATACAAAATTGACTCAGTACTTCACTTGTTGAGATAAGTACATATACATCAGAAACAACTGTATGTGACTAGAAAGACAACAAGCTGACAACAACATAGATACACTGAACAACATATACACATACAGAATCGAATAGCACTGACACATGCATATGCAACTTGTACAAAGACACCTGTTCACAACGCACACACACAGTGACAGAGGCACTCATATACGGAATCCCATTTACACACACATTCTCTCTCTCTCTCTCTCTCTCTCTCTCTCTCTCACACATACACACCCACACTCATATAGACATAATGCATCTATATGTAAACTGGCAAGAATACAGCAAATTCAAAGATGGAAATTCATCTTCGTTCTGACATACATACTCACACATACACTGACACACACTGACACACACTTACATACACACTCACGTACACACTCACACACTAACGTACCTACTCATACAGCCATAAATTCATACACACACTCGTACAAACAAAACCTCACACGCGCATTCATACCCGCACTGATACACTCCCACCCCCTCGCACATACACTCGTACAAGCACGCACACACTCACTCGGACAATTATACTCGAACCAACACGCATACACGCTTACATAACACTCACCTACACACTCAAATCTACACATTCACCTATATAAAAACGCATATTAATACATACACTTGCATACAGACACAACTTCACATCAATACATACACATACGGGCGCGAACACACGCAAACACATTCACACATACGAGCACACACACACCAACAGACACACAGACAAACCAACACACATAAAGTGACTAACCTGTTGTACATTTCTCCTCTGATCCTCGTTGACCGACGGGGCAGGAGACTGCAACGAGAGAGGAAAATCACAATGAGGTGGTTACACACAGATGATGGCATCGTGGGGTGGGGTAAGCGGGCGGGGAGGGAGGGGAGGGAGGGAGACACGGGCCTGTCGCACGGAGAAATGAGGACAAGAGGCTGTCTCGAAGTGAGGAGAGACAGGAGCCTTGTCACATGGAGGAATTAGGGCAGGGGGCAGAGAGGTGTGTGTGGTGTGTGTGTGTGTGGGGGGGGGTATATATTGACCTGAGTCTGTTTTTGAAAGTTTTAGTGTGAGAAAAGGAGAAAAACAGCAGTAAAAGCAATATATATATATATATATATATATATATATATATATATATATATATATATATATATATATATATATATATATATATATATATATATATATACAGAGAATGAGGTAAGAAGTGAACAGACAACAGAGATGTTCCGCAGATGCAGAGGTAGAAGACAGACATCGATTACTTTCTATTCTTAGCAATGGGTGAAGGAAAAACAAGTGGAAATTGTGCCCCCCCCCCCCCTCTCCCTCCCCATCTCGTCAAGAGAAAAATAATACCCATCGATTTTCACCTCTTTATTCTCTCTCTCTCTCTCTCTCTCTTTCTCTCTCACTCTCTCTATCGCTCCTTTATAAACATATTTTTTTCTTCTACACAAAAACATTAATTAAGAATGAAAAAAACATGCACCGAATAATCTATTCATAAATACTCGAGCAAAAAAAATACTTGTAAAAGCATGCTTCCATTCACTATAAGACAGCGTTTTATGAACCTGTAACATCGAATCCCGCGGAATCGATAAATAAAAAATAAATAAAATATAAAACAAGGCTTGCCACAATCCACAGTCCTAACACAAAACATTTGCGTACTAAAATCGTGTGAAATTTATCCAAGTTTTGTGTGTTCGGTGGCAAGCAAGAACGCCATATACCATTACTAAATACAGCTCTTATCAGATGGATTAAGTAAAAATCGTTAGTCTTCTGTTAGTGTTAATATATATATATATATATATATATATATATATATATATATATATATATATATATATATATATATATATATATATATATATATATATATATATATATATATATATATATGCACTTATATATATATACCTAGGCCTAAATTTATTTTATGTAAGGAGCAATATATATATATATGTATATAGTAATTGCCGTAAGGTGGCTTATAATGCTTTTAAATATCCTTTCCACATGAACATAATTTTACTCCATTTTGTCATGCCATACCGCCGTCTAAAATTTCTTGTTTGCAAAAAGTAATCGATAAAATAGAGCACTCCAAAAGTGGGCATTAGGTTTCGAGTGCTTTTAGTTAGCGCAATTTCACAAACATTATCATAACTCCGTGCTTCTTCCCCGCGCAGCCAGAAATGAAATCGCGCTTTCGTTTTAAATACTTTATCGTTTAGTTAGTACTGGGGCCATTTTCTCAAACCAAGGCCGACTTAAAAAAAAAATGTAATTTCCTTTTTTCTCTTTGCTAGGGAATTGATTACTTGGGGTGAATGTTCGCTTGCAGAGTCGAACGGGCAGTGGGGGAGACGTAGATTGTGGGGGGGGGGGGGGGGGGGGGTGGGGTAATGGAGACCATGTTGTCTTGTGATATTTGGTCCACTAATGTTTCCAACGACAAACGTTTTCTCTTTGAGAGAAAATAAAAAGGGGTGGATGTGACCAGAGTGAGGTTTTTAAACAGTTTTTGTGTGAGGGGGGTGGGGGGTAGGGGTGGTGGGGGGGGGGGGGGTGAATTTAGAGTTTAGAGAGAGTCAAGTGTAAATAACGGACGCTTTAGTGTCCCATTTTGTGGAAGGGTGAGAAGGGGGAGGATTTTGGTTTTGTAGTAAAGCGGACAGATGTAGAACGTTTGCTGAAAGTAAGTTTGGCACTTGTTGAAACAATGACACGTAGGGTGAGAGTAGGTTTATACATTGACACTTTTGATTAGGGCTGGTTGACACATTAGCACCTTAAGTTAGGGCTAAACTGATACTTTAATACTCAAGGTTAGGATTAGGTTGATACATTGACCATAAGGGTTAGGACTAGATACATAGTTAGACACTTAAGGTTAGAGTAAGGCTAAAGTATTTGTCATTCTGAGTATGTACTGAGTATTTGCCAAACGAGGTATGGAGTATTTGTCCTTCTAAGTTTGTATTGAGTATTTGCCAAATTATGTATGGAGCATATTGTGATACTGAGTATGTATTGAGTATTTGCCAAACTGTGTATTTGTCTTCTTGAGTATGTATGTATTTGCCGTACTTCTGGATACAGTGCTGACTACACCATCCTTCATATACCGAGGACATATAAACAGAAGAACTCAACTTCTATTGACCCATAAACCATAAGGTTCGTAAAGGGAACTTTACTATTCGCCATACTAAGTATGTGCAGCGTATTTCCCCTACTGAGTTTGCGGGCCTATAGAGTACTACTGAGTAAGTAGTACTAGTCATACTGAATTTGTATGGATTATATTTTCGCAATATTGAGTATGTATGAAGTTTTTGCCATATCGAGTATGCATGGAGTATTTGCTATACTAATTATGCATGAGATATTGGCCATATTGATGTGCATTCTATATTAAAAGAGCAATAACCGCACGTATTAAGGGGAATGTACTCCCCTTACCTCCACAAAACTCCTGTAACTACAAACCCCAGCAATCGTCTGGCACTGTTCAATACATCCATATCGCGCGCCACCTCCAGCCAGCATTCAATTAAACACGTGTGAGCCGAAACTAAAATTTGAAAATCTTTTCTGTTGACCCAATTTGTTTAACATTGAGCAAACGTGACCTTCTACTCACGTGCGAATGAAGGCTAATATTTACGTCTCAAATCTGCTAAGCAAACAAGAGTATCGACGCTCCGGTAGATGGTACAAGTTCGACATTGATTTTCAGCGAGTTGCGTGAGATTTGGAATTAAAGTTTACACTAGTGACGTTGGATAATCGAAATTAAGTTCGTACGTTCTGGTGTGGTGGGGTGTTTTACCGGGTGTTATTTAACGATGGGGGATCCGTGTTGTGACGTCATTGGCACGTGACAGGGATAATGAAGCAGGTCGGAGTGGGGTGGGTCAGTATTAGGATTTAGGATTGTGGAAAGTTTAGAGTGAACTGTTAGTCTTTTTTTAAGGACTTGAGTTTGATATTTTTTTTAAATAGAGGTGGCTTGAAATGGACTTTTTAAAAATAAAACTTGGTCTGAGTTCGTGGCTTTATGTAGTTTTATTTGGATAGGGTTACTTTTGAAGATATATGTAGTTTGTTTTTAGATTGGGGAAACTGTTTCTGGTTATTTGAAATTTTTGTTAAATTGTGTTGGATGGATACTGGACTTCATATTAAATGTAGATTAAATGTAGATTGTGCTGTCTCTGAACGGTTCGGCCTTTTAACTCCTTTATGTCTTTTAACATTATATATAACGCAATTTATTTTTTACTTGTAGTATTTCATACCAGACGGGTGGGTGAAATTTGCTTTAAACTTAAAGTTATACTCTATATTTTAAGACTAATTGTCATTTGCCTAAACCACACATAGGTAAAGTGACGTTTTGTGAAATTAATCTTAATCAGGTCAATGAGAAACAGCATATTTAACCTCATGAATTATATTCAATGTATGTAACACACGAATTACTCTATAGGACTACAGTGTATACATTAAGATGAAGATTTTCTAAAAATAACTCGTTGCTTCAATGACTTGAGGGTTAAGCAACACTTCAAACCTATATGAACTATTAATTGCTAAAAGAAAAACAAATACAAATCTTTGGTTTGTATAAAAACATCATCCACCTATCACATAAAATAAAAATTTCAAAACACTCACTGAACACACGTGAGTAGACTATTTATAGACGATAATTCTCGAATCAATACTGTAGTAAGCTCTTTATTTATTTAGGCTAAATTAGGAACTGATACTAGTAATAGAGCGACCTCGCACGTGCACTCAAAGTAACATGACGTCAACTCAACATATATATATATATATATATATATATATATATATATATATATATATATATATATATATATATATATATATATATATATCATAATTAAATATAGTCTTCATACTAAATAAAAAAAAACAACAAAGAACTAATAGCTACATGCGTATTCTCTTTGAATTACAAACATTACAAAGGTGTGCATTTTATATTTTACAGTGTAAATAAAATATTTGTTTGTGTGGGTAGGCCTAAGTGTATAGCTATTTATATTTTTTCGTGAATACACATAAGTGTGTGGGTGCTGTATGTGTGTGTGCGTGTGTGTGAGATAAACAGTGATAAAGTAAGTTAAAATTGTTTTTCGCTGTAAACGCGCTAACCAGTAACGATAACTCCTTGGACTTTAAAGCCCATGTCACTATTTAGAATTTAAAAAAAAATTAGACGGACAAAATAAGAATTAAAAAAAAATACACGAACATTTTCTTTTTAAAATATAGCAAGACAACTATAATTGCATAACAAAACGCATGCTTTCCCCCCATCATACTTATCTAACCCACTTCTCCTTCCAGACCTTTCTAAACGTCAAGAAATTAAAAAAAACTACGATCTAACACAGAAGCCATACCTCTAATTACATCAACGAAACGGGCTTCACATAACAGGCAATATATTTTTATGGATTTCTTGTAAAATGAGCCGAGGAGGAAGACATTTTAAAATGGATGCTTCACCAGTAATTTTCAAATGATTAGCTAATTAGTAATGTAAAATACATTTACAGATCCTAAGTAATGTTATATTTCCTATTTACAATTATGAGTGTATTAATTAAAATTAATTTTGAGTCTATATATATATATATATATATATATATATATATATATATATATATATCCTGCATGTGGGGGTGATTTGCTATATGGCTTCTATAATCAATGATACTGTTCTAGTATAAACTGTACTAAAAAGA